ACGGTAGAAGCACTTCTGGTTACTTATTTCAGTTTGGATCAGGTGTGTTTTGCTGGAATTCTTGTAAACAAGAAGTGGTTGCCCAATCTACTGCTGAGGCTGAGTATATTTCAGCTGTGGAAGCTTCAAATCATGCTATATGGTTGAGGAAAATGCTATCTGATATGGGGCAGCCTCAGTTTGATCCTAGTTTGATTTATGTGGACAATACTTCAACTATTGCAATTGCTCAAAATCCTGTGCAGCACAAGAGGACTAAGCATGTTCATGTCAAGTATCATGTAATTAGGCAGTACATCAAGAACAAGCAAATTCAGTTGCTTCATTGTAGTTCAGATGTACAACTTGCTGATATTCTTACTAAGTCCTTACCAAAACAGAGGTTTAAGATGCTGAGAGAGCAGCTTGGAGTTACCAGACTTGCTCTCAAGGAGGAGTGTTAGCGTGTGAGATCAAGTCTTTAATGTGGCAGTTACATTTAGTTTATTTTACTTAGTGGTGTAGCAGTTTCTTTTTAGTTGGTAACTTCTTTTCATTTTCAGCAACTGTTATGTATAACCTTCTTTCTTTAAAACGTGAGTGTATGTCCGCTGCTATTTTCTGAAATATATCAGATACTGTTCATGTATTTCAACAGTGTTCTATGTATTTCATAATTTCTCAAGTTAATCCTTGAGTTTATGTTCACTTCATGTTGTTTTTCACTTGAGTTTTCATCTTTACATCATCACAAAGTAATGCTACGCATTGACAAATGTACCATATTTTATTAATGCTGTTCAAAAAAACTGTAGTATATATGAATACTAGATTGCCTGTGTTGGGTTTGTCATTATTGCATCTCCTTGGAAAATTTATATGGGTCTTCTTACAGCTGATCTCTTTCAATATTGGATCTTCGGGCTTTTACAATGGAGTTCCCATAAAGAGGGAGAGTGAGAAGCCCTCCTGAAGTTGAAGTACGATATGGTTGATCCTTCAGACGACTGACTCACATCTTGGGTTGGTGATGATAAAGATTGATGCAGATGTTGGAACAGGAATGAAAAGAATTTCATGTAGCCGTATCTAATGGGTTATGGAAATACAGTGCAGAGCAATGAGACATCAGTTTCTAATCAAGAAGACAATGCATTGTGCTAAGACTTTTGTAAATTCTTGAAAGATGCGAAGACTTCTATAGAATCTCGAAGCCAAAATAGCATATAAGTGAAATAATAGATTACTGCTGTATGAGGCCAAGTCCTTGCGGTATGGCTTCGTATGTCAATCATATCTACGTCGGACCAAGGAAATTGAAGATTTTCATGCTGGCGTATGAAATGAGGCATTGAAAGAGGATGCTTAGGGTCTCATCTAAGTTGTTGTTGAGAAAATTCATCGAAGATGATCAATGCTACGCAAAGACAAATGTAGTATAAACACTAAAACGCCTTTGTTGGGTTTTTCATCACTAATATTCCTTCTCCATCGAAAATTCCAATGGATCTTCTTACGGTTCTCTTCATTGGATTTCTCAGTCTGGCTACTCTAAATGCTGGCTTTTGCTATGGAGGCTGCATAGAGAGGGAGAGACAAGCTCTCTTGGAGTTGAAGCAAGATTTGGTGGATCCTGCAGAACGACTCACTTCCTGGGTTGCTGATGATGAAGATTGTTGCAGATGGAAGGGAGTTGTATGCAATAATGTGACCAACCATATCTTGGAACTCAATCTTCTTGACGTTCCTGATGATCAATTAGAGGATTATTCAGGATCGAAGTTGGGTGGTAACAATGTTTTAAAAACCGGACCGGATCGGCCGGTTGAACCGATCAGACCGGTACCCGGTATTAAAAATGGTTCGGCTTAACATTTAGAACCGATAGAATG